ATGATATATTATTTGTGTTGATGACGTATATAGCCTTACTATCCAAATGAGTGGTGTTGGTAGCCTAGTGGTTAGGCTACCGGACTCGTAATCGTGAGATTGCGGGTTCGCGGGATCGAGCCTCAACTCGGTCCGATGTTGTGTCCTTGGGAAAGGTACTTTACACGGACTTCCCACTTGGCTCGGTCCTTTCGGAGACGGGCGTTAAACTAGGAGGTCCCGCCCCTTGAATAACCTGATAGTGTTGATAGGGGCGTTAAACCTATACCATTTCACCATTTTTTTATCCACATGACGTCACACAGGAACCTTCACGGGACCAGCAAGAAACAAAAAGAAGTAATCATTTTTGTTTATATTCCGAACTGAGGTACTGAAGAAAAGTTTAGATCGTGTTTTCGGTAGATAAAAAGTTTGGGGGGCTCTCGTGGCCTAGAGGCTAAGGTGTTGGCCTCTCATTCAAAGGTCCCGACTCCGAATCCGAGGGGCGACCGAAACATTTTCTTCTGTAAAATAGTCTCCTTTCACCTTCATTCCTGCTCTCTAGCATTGTTTTGTTGTATGCTTTCGTCTCCACTTTCTGCCCCCCACCCCCACTCCTCCTTTGCCCGCTCCTCTGGGCTCCTGACTCTTTCTGCAGCCTTGCTACTGCTACTCCTTGGCTCCTTACTGCTGTCTTTCAGCCACTCCACTGATCTTCAGGTATTAAAGATCTACACCTAGTCTCCTCGGACAAGGGCGAAAAACTTCGGAGGTCCCGTGTGCAAGTTGCGCACGTTAAAGATCCCTTGGTGGTCGAAAATCGATAAGAGTAGGCTTCAGCCGCCTCCAAGGCAAAATTCAAAAATTCCTACCGACTGAAAATGTTTAATGTGTCCCGCGCGCTTATGTGACCTTATGCAGTTGTGAGCGCTGTAAAACACTAACCAAAAAAAAAATGAGAACAAGTTTAGACTGTGTTTACGAAGTGGAAAAGTCTCTCAGACTGTGTTTACGACAGGCCGAACGCCTTTGGGGAAATGTCTGGACGATGTGTGGGTGAAATTGTTCAACTTTTGGCGGAAATTCTCCTGCCTTATGCGTGCTAGCACTTGCAGCTAACGCTATAGAAATTACGTTCCCTATAAAATATCGTTTCTCGGAAATGTTTGTTTTTGTTTGCTTAAAGGCGTTCAAAATTTAAGACTAACCACGTTTCACCTGCTTGAAGAAAGGCCAAAAACGTAAAACCTAACTTCCATCTTTCTCTTTAGAAGTGTTCAAAACTCAAGTCGACGCTAATTTTATTTTGACTGCTTTAAGATAAGTGTCAAAATTATAGCTTTTTCATCTTGTCGGTACTCTATCTGTAGTTTTATTGCCAGTGCAGTATTCAAGATATAGATCTGGGCGTAACAACATTGTCGGCGTCAGTGTTTATAAGTGTGTGAGTGTGTGTGTGTGTGTGTATGTGTGTATGTGTGTGTGTGTGTG